AGACATCATTTGATAAATTATTTAATGGGATAATCATTCAAAAGTTTCTAACTGAAAACACATCAAAGAACACAATACGTAAATAATCAATGAACAATAAGAAATATTATGAATGACATTTATCGGTGTCATTTTCATGATTTATGACTGTTATTAGGAGTGGAATATAAGGCATGTGACACCTTTGAAGGTTGATTCACAGTATGTTGACGATACAACATTGTAGCTGAGTGGTGACGTAGAGCATATCAGATTGATCTGATCTCGAGCCGCACCCGTCTCAAAGAATGCCTTATAGATTTTACTTCTGGACACTCCGGCGTTGCCTTCCACAATATTCTGAAACAAACAATACATACAAGTCCAAGCACTCTCATTAATTTGTTATCAATCCTTTTTCATGCTAACATTTTTACTTTAGCCAAAAAGTCTATAAACTAAAATTCTAACGAGTGCGAGAAGTTTGTTTCGTAGAGTTCTCAAGATGGAATGGATAACCACGCGGAGATAGGAGAATTCGGAAAGTACTTTTGATCTAATGAAATTTTCGAACCGCACACTCAACCAGTCTAATTCAATTTGGGAAAAAATTAACAGCTTGATCGTTTCATCGTCATAATTCATTTAGATGACCGCCAAACTCGCAACTGCGTTTCGACTTGCAACTAGTAAATTTGCTTCCCGTTGTATAAAATGTCCAACTCCTAGAGAAATCAGCTCACCTCATCGATGACTTTCCTCAGATCACCTCGATTGCACACGTCATCTGATGGATAGAGTTGTCTTGAGAAACGCCTATGCTCTGATTTACTCGCGCTGTGGTGGTGATGAGATCTACCAGAATCTTCCGCTTCATCTTTTACACTGTGAGGTGCTACGGTAACTTCAAATTTTCATCAATAATATTCTCTAATGTAAATTTTTTTGAAACTAAATACTATAATACTAAATAAACACTAATAGTAAATAAACAATAACATTCTGTAAATGAAATAAATTCCATCAATGCTCTCTAAATTCATTAATATTCTTTGAAACTTCACGAATTTCTTAT